TTGAACCACAATACTGATAAGTGATTAATAAAAGTCAAAAGACCAAAGAGGTCACCTTAATACCAAAAAAAAAAAAAGAAAGAAAAACACTAAGGAAAAAAGAAAAACCAAATCAGCAAACAATAGAAGAAAGGAAAGAGAAAATGAAAAAAAAGAAACAAATTAAAAAAGAAGTACAGAAGACAATTTTAGAGCTTTTCATGAAAAGGAGAAGACCCTTTTATTATGAACTTTAAGTAGTCAAATGAGCAGCTTACTTCTGCTTGAAGTAATGCAACAGATTGCACTTAGATACCATTAGGATGGTTGGGTAATGCTGGACTTAATTGTTAAGGATATTTATATAATTGTAAATGTAATTTCAAAATCTTAATAAAGTACTAGCGTGACTGCTTAAGGAAAAAAAAAAGATATAATTATCAAGAAATAAGGACTCATATAGATAAATCAAGAACATAAATTAATTAGTAAGTTTTTTGAGTTATAAGCCAAGTTCTTAAGTATGAAAATATTTTTATCATCTTTCTGTACATAGAAGAACCATGTAATAAAATTCAAGATTGCAAAAGACAAAAATTATCTAAAATTTGTTCTATCATATGTTATACGTAGCAAAATGTTAAATGATTTTTGTTTTGTGCAATTCAGCATTTCATCACATGATTCTTTTATGTAACTTGACTGCACTTTTAAGGTCTGCTCTGGCTGGATCTTTTCTCACTATCGCAACCCATTTTAAAATTTCAGTATAGTTGAAATAACCCATTTAAATTTATTGTTATTTATTAAAAATAATTTAAAATCGTTACATTTTTTTAATACGTATGTATATCATCAGAAGAATAATATATAAGTTAATACATGAAGTCAAATATCTTATTGATTAGATGACTCACAGTCGATGTCAAAGGTTTCAAATTTTACAAATCCGCCATAATGAGTAGAGTACTTTACATAGTTCAATAAGATTTTCTGAATTATACTTTTGAATTGTATATAGTCAATTATCATTATATAATTTATATATGTTAACATAAACGTTACATATCACATGAATCCAACAATAGGAAAATTACTTTTTCTTCCTTTTGGGCTTGTCAATAATTGACGTGGTCGTATAAGAGGATTGTTCACCGCTGGATTCACAAAGACATGCTAAAATGTTATATAATGTATAGACAATGGCGGTCTATAAAAGAATATTGTTAATACATTTTCATATTGATAACAGGAAAGCAAAACCAAACATACTCTTAATTTTAATAATGCGTGGATGGGTGTATAATTATACTTGCTGGCAAAGCCTAGACAAATCCCAAACCTCCCAAAACAAATAGCTTTTATAAAAAATCAAATCAAAATAATTTTGATATTTTGTAAATATATTATATATAGCTATAAGAATATATATTATTTGTTTAAATAAATATTATTAATAAAGTTTGAGATATTAATTTTTGGCTTGAGTTTGGGATTTGGGTGGCAAGTATATGTATAATCTTTGCTGTTGCAAGTAGACGATAAACAAGAACTTATGTTTCTTTCTCATCACAAATTTTTATTGTATCACCTAAAAAAGCAATTTTAATGATATTTCTAAAAGATGAATAACAATAAAATATATACTTACAACATTAATTGTGAATATTTATTTAATATCGACTTAATGATGCTTTAAGTTCCGATCTTGTTTTTTCGATTGAATCCTTGGAGAGTCCTGCTAATTTTCTATGATCCTCTAGTTGCTTAAGAAGATCTGTTTCACCATATAATAATTCAACCACTATGTCACTTATTCCTACCGTAAACATATAGTCTGGTTTCTTTGCACTTCTCAAGTTACCGGCTCGAGATGCACCAACCAAGCTGTTTATCTCTAAAATTCAAGAAAAAATAAAATCACGGTTAAAGCTTAACAAATAGAACAGAAGAACAAAAAACAAACACCGATCATGCACCCCAAGCTTCGCATTTTATATGTATCCCTCTTATAGTTATATCAAATAATTGTGACAATACTTCGCTATTAGATTATGACCACCTTGGTCATATAAAGCTGGATACAACCCAAAATGACAAACACTGTTATCCAGAATCTACTATACGGGGAGACAATAAATTTGCTACTTTAAAAATAATTTGTTCATTATTTATGTTCGTTTTATTTCCCCCCTCCCGAGAGTCCTAGGAAGTGATGTTAACCGACAGATTAACTGCAAGCTGCCTTAGTGTTGTAAATTTAAGAAACAATATGGTTGATAATCCCGTTCAATCAGAACAAACCAAAAATAGGATTAGAAAGCGTAGTTCAAAATATGGGTGACTCTATATATTCTAGATTAATGAATTTAAAATTATACTCATGCTTGAGAGAGTAAATTATTTTTGTATTAAACAAAGAAAGAAAAATTTTTTGCTATTTCAAATAAAAAATTCACACCCTTTCATATAAAATCCGCATTGGTCTAGTGGCTAGGATTTCGCGCTTTCACCGCGACGGCCGGGGTTCGATTCCCCGATGCGGAATGTCTAATTTTTTTTTCTGATTTTTTTAAGTCGTGATGCGAATGGCTCGGCTCGGCTCGGCCGAGCCTATTTTTTTAGCTCATCAATCAGAGCTGAGTCGTTTACAAGCCGAGCTGAGCCGTTACTTTAAGATATAGCGATAGGCTTTCTTATAATTTCTTAACTTCATGCAATTAAATTTATATATAATAAAATTTTTTTTTTTTTTACAAAAATAATATCATTTATAATAACGTATAGAAGACTCTTCACAGAGTACTACTCCATGTAAGTATACTTCACTTAGAGACAGTTTTAAAGTAGGAAATAGTAATGTTTAGTAAAATTAATTTACAGAAATTTCAGATAATTTCTATATGGGGGTGAGTCAATAGACCTATCAAATCATTTTTAGTGAAATATTTTTGCAACTTTAAACAAAGTTAACTTGACAAGAAATTATTCAAATTTAATAAAAAAATTTTTAAACCAATTCTATAAGAATTTAGAATTAATTTAAAAAAAAATTTATTAAATATGGTTAAATGCTTGCTAAGTTATTTGGATTTAAAGTTTCAAAAACATTTACTTAAAAAAATGTTGGTGCATTTCTATTGACACCCCCATATACTTGAAACGTTAGGTTTTTAAAGACGCTTGGGCAAAGCTTTACCTGAACAATTAAACAGTTAAAAATAAATTGTCAATGTCATTGAAGTCACAATGCTAGGTGAGTTTATTATCGGCTAATAGTAATATGATATAAATCTGTCGGCTTGTAGCTTCAGAGCTTTAAGCCGAGCCGCTGTTAGAGTTGGCGCTTTATTAGTAGGCCTAGAGCTGAGCCGTTAACCGTTTTGGCTCACGGCTTGGCTCGAGCCGTTCGCATCACTAATTTGAATAAAGATAATTTCTACGTACACACGTACGCAGTGAAATATTACTATTACTACATATAGGTTTAATTTTATATTTCTAAATTCTAATTAACCATTATAGATAGTATAAACCATAACTAATTATACAAACTCATTGAATATTCAACGAATTACATATATTTGGTGAACCCAATGATATATTCTAATATTAATTCAGTGAAAATATTATACGTTCAAATAACGTCGGACCAGAACTCTATATACAATCTTCTATATCTATTTTCTTAAAAATTTATGCAGCCTGACCTACAAAATTTAACCAGCCAGACAAATTTCTTCCTACACCATAATCATTAAACCGACAAAATGCAATAAATAGTTTATACGCTTTTTTTTTTTTTTTTTACTAAACATTAACATTCTTAACTATCCGATTCACAGTGGAAATTATTATTATTATTTTGAGGGTCTTCGACTCCAAACCATTCGCACTTTATCCATTCTTTGACTTCCTCTACATCACCTAATGTTTTTGGAAAATTATCTAATTCAAAATTCTCTAACTGTAAAATGTCATAAAATGCTTGATATGTATCCATTATATGTTGCTACAAATTCAGAAAATAGGTTACGGGTAGTGTCAACAAAAAAAATGGATAATGTATTACAAAACTAAATAATATTGCTACCTGAATTGGCTTTAGCAATACATTTTCTGTTTTACGATCATCTAGATATTCTGACATCTTGGTGATAATATAATGAAGCCGAGATTTAACTGCATCTTGAAAGGTTTCATAAACCTCGATAATATTAGCTAAAAGTTAAAGAAAGATTTATTAAGAAGCTTTGAAACAACTTTGTCACATGAGTAAAGTTAGATTTACCAGGTTGTGCGAAGCTTTGATCTTTTAACAACGTTTGCTGATGTACAGGTTTAAGATCATTTCTTAATCGGAAAGCGGACACCTAAAGCATAAGACGTTGTAACATATTGAGGCAATTACAAATATAAGGAAACTATTTAATGAATTTTTACCTTCATTAGGAACGATGACAATGGTTCAATGGCTGCTTTGTAACTATCCATGATGAACTCTTCACATATGCGCTTCAGCTCTTTGTCGACTTCCTATATTAGTTCAGTTTTTATTCATAATATATTACGGGTAATAAAAACATATATGTATGGACATAAGCCAACCTGTTTTGAATCAATCCTATTCTCGACAACTTTCGGTATTCCCTTTGACGCCAAACCAATTAAAGTGGTTGGGCTAAGGATTGAATATTTATTTTGCAATATCTCGCTAAGTGCATCTAGTGGTATATACATACGAATCAATCAATTCAAGATCTAAGAAAAAAAACACCGTATTGATTTATATTAAGCCATAAAATGATCATGTACCTGTTATTTGCGAAAAATCCAAATCCTTTTCTTCATGTATAAATTGAGTGTCAAATGAGGCTATTTGATCCTTAAGTATTAGGAGGTGCTTTATTAAGAAAAGCTGTCCATCAAGTCTGCTCTGCAGAATTCAATTGACTGAAGTTAGTAATTAGCATAAATACTAATTAAGAACAAAAGATAAATCTTTTTATAAAATATTTATAACAATAACCTCCTTTGCTACTATTTCACTTGTAGTCAACAATGATTGTAAACATAGATTAACGACATCTTGAGCAATGTCGTCAAATATTTTGGGCTATCAAAATTCATAAATTATTATCGAAACGTGATTTGATATTATAAACAAGTGATGATGGATGAAGTTGAAGACGCACATTAACACACCGATAAAGTTTTGAAAGTATCCATAAGGTGCGCTGTAATGTGGGGAACCATCCACGGTATAATTCTCCAGCATCGATAGCATTCATTGACGATGCTGATGATATTGTTATCATAGATTCGACATCCCCGTTATCTTGTTGAACCGCCAGTATAGCTGGCGACGAAGTTGGTCGTTGAATCTCAGTTAGCTCAGGGATGCCATTGGATGACGGTGTAGTATTAGATTCTAAATAATACGATCATGCATAACTAAAATGATTAAAGCATGAAAAGCTCTGAAAATATAATTTCAAACCTTTTAACTTAGTAGGATAGTCCACGTCTGACGGCTTTGGAATAAAATTTTGTATTTCGCTTCGAATATATGTTTGAACACGAAAAACAAGTCGTTGTTGTGTATCTTGAAGCACATTACGTATTAAGTGACTAAATTGCAACCCTTGTCCCTCCTTCTCTGTTTTGCCGGTAAATTGTGAGATTTAAGCTATTAAGATTGTCAATTCACAAAAACAAAGTAATATCGAAATAATTCCATACCTTCAATCGATTCAGGACTTTGGTTAAGATGCACTTGCAGAATTGTACAAAGTTCTGACAAAACTTCAATATTCGTTTCATGAATAATACGGGGGCGAAGGTAATCGTACATATAACTGCACAATAGATCCAAATTTCCACTATCGATCGCGAAAATGCACAATATGTTAATATACATATCGACTTTCGAGTTATAGAAAATAATATAAGTGTATCGTACTATAAATCATCTTCACCCGTCGAGAAAAAATTATAAAATAATGAATATTCATCTGAACAAAGGTTCAGCATATATGCGTACCCATTCCGGGCCTAACAATAGAATGACTGGTTGAAATATATAGGAAGAGGCTTTGCATAGTGATTTAATCTTATCAAGAAAGCTTACAAATGTCAAGATATCTTGCCCGTCAGAACCAAGTTCCAAAATCTTTGCATATATCACAGGAATAAGTAACTGTTGTCGCACGGAAAAGTACGCATTATAGCAGTCATTTAATAAAGAATTATATCTAAAACAATATTAATGATTAAAAAGATAACTATACTTTTATGTTAGAAGTAATATTTAATAAATAAGGATGACATACTCTCGATGTGCAGGACACCGTTTTTCCACCTCATGCACCAATTCTTTCAGCTTTGGTGCTACTGCACGGAACTTCACATAAAATAGGGCAGTTTGCACGGTAGAATTTGTTGACTTATTATCCGAAAATTGATCGAAAATGAATAAAGTATTGAATATGAATTCATCTATATAAATCATAAGATACATACTTGGTTTGTCTTTTTACTGATTTCAATACCGAGACCTTTAATTGTGTTAATAAAATACATTTTTATCAAAGTTATTCCGCGAGTCATGCATTGTCTGAACCGCATAAGATAGAGCTCAGAATCTCTGTATCTTAACTAATCATTAACAATAAATACAATAAATAAGTAAAGAAAAACAAGTAAAACGCAAGTAAATTTCAGACTTACATTACTCTGCATGTAGTCTAAACATTCATCTAGCTTTGCCAATACTGGAATAAATTCTGGCTGCTCACAAATATTTTCACCGGGGGAATTGAATAATTTAGTAATAGCTTCCAGCTCATTGTAATAAGAAAGTTTTGAAGATATTGCATCTGCTAATGATGTAAGATTATTCTTACAACATATGAGCCATTGAATATTAGTATTTTGAAGTTTATAAAGTAAATCATCTCTGTACTATAATATTACTTGTTCTTCCAATAACTTTTCACAAGCTGTCTGTAAAGCTTTCGTTCTTTCTTCTACAAATTTGAAATTACCATCCAAATCATTAAATAACTTGACTGTTGTATCTATTTGCTCTAGGAAAGTATCACACGCTTGTCGATATAAAGTAACCATTTCAAGAAAATTCCTAAAATTAAAGAAAATAGTAAAAATGTTAACTGATTTAAAATTTTTATTTAAGTATTAAAATTATCAGATCTAGACATATCACATATCTATTATGCCAACCTATAGACATCCTCTTGATCTTTTTCCATATCATTTTCCATTCTTGCAAACCAATCAAAAAATTGCTGTGTAGTCTCAATTGGTTGCGGTATTCCAAGGACAGCATAAGGTGATGATGAGATAATGGCAGCTTCTGCTGCTTGAGATTCTAAAGTTAAAAGATTAGCTGTGGAACGTGACCTTGGGAGGGAAAATAGGGATGGTATAGAACCAGGGTATGGCGATGATCTATGGCCGTCTTTAATAGATATTGGAGTTGGGGATGACGTATGCTGAGGTGTCCCTGGACCGAGATCGCTTAGGAACTGGAATATTCATATAACGATATTATTGGAATTAAAATTTTACATGAATTATGAAAAAAATTAATTTGCTTACACCGTCAGGCAATGGTAGCTCTGCACAAGCTTCTTGAAGCTCCAACACACTCTGCTTTTGTATTTCTGTAAGTTGGGTTTTTGAGTCCCATTCATCCAGTGTTATTCCTTTATTACGTAATTGAGTTGTCATTGTTTTGTTATAAGTACAAATTATTTGATATGGAAATCTTTTGTCAAGGATTAAATAGCAAAATTAAAATTACTTCGAACACGATAAAATATTTTGTGCGCATGTACATACATATATATCATGTGTTTGATGTATCTGCAGATCATTATTAATAAATTTTTAAACGGTAAACTGTCCGTTAATTTCTTCTACGTAGCATAAAAAATATCTAGCAATAATGGCGTCTCCACGCTCGTCGGGTACAGCCGGCCGAGATTCACCAAATCCAAGTTTTAATGAACCTTTTCAATTTGATGAACAGAAATTGTTGTCTAATGCTGCTAACCCTGAGAAACAAGAATTATATGTTTTTAATTGGTTAGCAAATTTAGAAAGAGAGTTAAAAAGAGCTGACAAGGTTAAATATTTTTATATCTACTTGAGTTTTACCTAATTATTTTTTAATTATTGATTCTCTTTTAGTGTTATAGAAATCTGTCCATTATTTATTCATTTTTCCTAAATAATTATACTTTAGGAAGCAGTGAAAACAGTTCAAACCAACCTTGAAAAGCAATTATTGAAATTTATGTCATTTACCTCACCAAAGCCAAGTAGACCAGTTCGGCAGCTTATTTCAAGATGTTTTGTAATTATTTATATAAAGGGTGATTCAAGAACTTTGTTTGATACCATCACTACTTTACAAAGCTTTGTCAATGCAGGGAAAGGTGCTAGTGAAAAAGAAAAGAAATTGTAAGCATTAAATTTTCTTTATTTCGCGATAAATTTATACCTTCTAAATGATCTTCATATAATTTGCAGAGCAGCCTTACATTGCATTGGTGTTATTATGAAATCAATAGGAGATCGCATTTTGTCGTTGCTTCCCGAAACAATCAATATTTGCCTCAAGACTACCAAGAATACAGCCAATGTTAGTATTAAGGAAGTGTGCCAATATTATTATCATTTTAACCTTGTGCTCAAAATAAGACTATATTAATTGCGTTACTTCGTTAATATTTAGCCACTAATTATTCGTCTGGAAGCAATTAATACAATCACCAGAGCACTCGAAGGAGCAGCTAAAGGAGCAACGGAATTACTTGTAAAGGACATTATGAAACAATTAAAGGCCGGATTAAATGACAAGGCCTTGATAATCAAAGACGCAACTATCAAGGTATTTTGAGAACCATTTTTAAATGCATATATTCTAATTATTCATTATTTCTGACATTTCCTTATTGTAGTGCATGCATTCTGTAGCTAAATATACACATCAACTTTATCCAATTACGGCTAATGAATTAGATCAATTGCTGTCTCAGATGGTCAGAGTACTTGATGGTTCTAATCAAACTATCCGCCGCTCTGTAGCTGCATATATATCGACTTTGCTTGCAGGGACACAAGGCGAGGTAGACTTTTTAGCATCTTCAACTCCGACTAAAAATAAAACATCCACGACATCACATCCTAGTACGCATTCTTCGCAAACACCGGGAAGTCCCACACTCAGCTCTTCACCAGATCCTGTTAAGGTTGTGTTATCTGTTGAAGAGATGTTATCACATTTGTCCACAATTTATAATAAACAATCTACTGCACGAGAGGTGCGTTCTGCAATTGTTGAAGCTTATTCTGCTCTCTTTATTAAATTGGGAACTAATTATGTGGAATTAAATTATGCGGAGATTGCTCAACATTTATTGAAAGAGCTTGTGTCCCATCCCAAGAATTTAAACTCTCGATATGATACGCTCAATGTGCGTGAGCATTGTGGATTGCTGTTACGTGATGTTATTGGTACAAGACTATTAAGTGAACAAGGTCAAGTAACAGCTGTTCGAGAGTTAGTACAAAATTGGGTCAAACAATGGCCAGCATTGACACACAATCAAGTAGAACCAACGAAATTGTCTCTTGTATGTGCTGTTAATGAGATATCTGGATTATTACTAGACTTAGGGGGAGCTGCTAGCACTGTTTCGGTATTGTATATAACTTTCATCTTAATAAACGGAATAAGCTTATTTTCGTTATTAAGAAAAAATACTTATAATAGTATCATGTTTGTTAAAAGGATGTACTTGTAGATCCATTGATTAATCTTTTAAGCCACCCAAGTTACTCTGTACAAATTGCAGCTGCATGGTGTCTGCGATGTCTTTGTTATTCCTTGCCAGTCAAACTATCAGAACTTATTACAAAAGTTCTTTCTTTTGTCAACAAAGACTTAAACAACTTAACAACACCCACTATTTCATCGGATTTACCGAAGCGAGCGTTGGGTCATGCTTATGGACTAGCAGCACTTTTAAGTGTAGTGCCTGCTCGACCACTTTATGTTTCGTTTGAATTAAGCGCGCGTGTGTTCTCTATTTCAACGCAACTTATCAAATCGAGCACTAACAAGGATGTTGCAATTGCTAGTATTCATTTGCAAGTTGCATGGATTCTTATAGGCTCCCTAATGTGCCTAGGGCCTAATTTTGTTAAATTACATCTTCCACAATTACTTTTATTGTGGAAAACAGCCTTACCCAAACCAATTTCTAAAGATTTCGTATCTAATCGTACAGAATCTGAGGTGGCGTTCATGTTACATGTACGAGAATGCGTATTAGGAGCTATGCTTAGCTGTGTATTACACAACTCTAAATTGATAACTCCTGATGTAGCTAAACGACTGGTTGCTCTGTTGAGCAATACTCTAGCTTTTTCAACTTTAGTTGGTACTACATTTCATAACGTAAATACACAAAGCAATTCTACTACATCAGTTGCTCAACAACTCCCTTCAACTTCATTAAAATTTTCTGATCGTGAAATTATATTAAAACGGAGGATACTCCAATGTTTTGTTGCAATTAGGCCAACATCCTCCTACGATAATCTTAGTTCACAACTCCTGAAAATGTGTTTATCAAATTTTGCGGATCCGGAAAAAAACATTGGTTCCGCCATCACAGCTGCTATTGCTGCAGTATCAGGATCTTTCACCAGTGTCTGGACTACTGGTGATGAATACGCCTATGGTGTTAGTAGTAAGTTACAGGGAATGACTGTTGACATTGCAAATGCGATTGATGGTGATCAGGGTAAAAATAGCCGTGGTGTTGCAATAAAAGATTGGCTTAATCGAGATTTGATTGAAAGCCGTCTAGAAAATCAGGTAATGCATTGCTTGCAAGATATTTCAGTAATAATTCACACCTGAATTGCGGATTGGCCATTATGCTACTGTATAACCGTGAAATAACGCTCGTGAACATTAGTTTAAAATTACATCTTAAAAATGTTATATTTTGTTCAAAGTGTACAATGCACTAGTGAACCTATTGCACAAGTACATCAGATCCAAAATATTACCCTTTATTTTCGAATAATGCACATGAGCGACGCATAAGTGGATAAAATAACGGGTGGTAATGCGTTATTTCGCAGTTATAGAGTATATAACTCCATGTTAATGTTTTTAATTAATATTAAATAAAATTTTACAGCTTGAACAACCAATAATTGGAGCTCCAGAATATGATTCTATAATGATTTACACCACGTACTGGATATCGCCTGCGAATTCAGTCACATATCAAATACCAAAGCCTGTTCCGGCTGTGTCAGCGTTAGTGGATTATAGTATTGAGCTTTTTGCATTGATTTTTCCATTACAAAGCGCACTTGTGCAAGAATCATATTTGGAACAATTGATCAAAGCGGTGAGGCATCCAAAATTGGAAAAAAGTCCAGGAAGAAAGATGGCCCTTCAAGTAAATATGGTTATATGTTTGTTGACCATATTCAAAAATATCATGCATGTTTCTGGAAAGAAAGGTGAATCTTCAGTGCCCAGTATTGCCGATAAAAAAGTTGGGGCTTTAGCTATGGAGTTATTACAAGTTTGTTTCATATATCAAGTTATCTATTCGATTAAATTTTATGAATGATCAACATTTACTTTGCTCTTTAATAATAATATAGGAAGCGATCGTTCATCCAGATGCATATTTGCGTCATGCTGCTAGCGATGCATTAGGACGTCTGTTGAGTGTTGTGGGTGGCAATATGGTTCCAACACAAATGCAGCTTCTCGTTGACCAAGTGGTCAACAACCGTGATCCCGACACGCGTGCTGGAAGTGCATTGGCTCTTGGTAGTATTTATAGCCATGTTGGTGGTATGGCTGCAGGAGGTCATCTTAAAACTTTGATCGGAATTTTACTATCGCTTAGCAGCGATCCACATCCCATTGTACATTTTTGGGCACTTCATGCTTTAGCAAAGATTATTGACTCTGCTGGTCCAATGTTTTCACAATATGTGAGTAGTACTTTAGGCATTATTGCTAAACTTTATATGGCCGATACTCACGAACCATGCGGTGGCACAGTTGGTACTACGAATGTCGGGTTAGGCTTATCCGCATACCAGCAATTTGGTAAAATTATATATGGGCTCATTGGTACATTGGGACCAGAATTACAAACAAATTCGAAAGTTAGAAATCTCTGCTTAAATTTGGTGATTGAACTTCGAAATGATGACGATCAATTTGTTGTTGTTGAATCAATACGTTGTCTCCAACATTTCATTATGCTTGCACAACAATACGTGGATTTGCCGAGATTAGTTGCATTCTTGCAATTTCAATTTTCAAGCATGCATTTTCCTTTGAAAGAAGTTGCTATTACATGTCTCTATCAATTAGTCCAACGTAATGCTAAGCATGTGTTTGAGATTGCCGCTCCTGGATTGGATAATCAACTGTTTTCGCTGTTAGACACAGACCCTAAAATTGATGGGGTGAAAGATATTGTTAAAAGCTGGTTAAGTCAGACGGCTCTTGAAAGCCCTTCATCATGGGTCGAATTATGTCGTAAGGTCATGTCAAAAACTGGATCTGTGGCAAGCGCAGGTGCACCTATTGAACCACCAACATTAGATATTACTGGAGGTGACGAAGATGAAGGATTTGGTATTGAACAATCTTCCGGTGTTAATGTTACTGCGCAAAGACGTCGGAGTCTTGAGAAAAAAACCCACCTCTCATCTGATACCGTACAAATCCCACCCAGGTGGCGAACGCAACTTTTTGCGCTTCAATGCCTTCACCAAGTTGTTCAAATTATCCATGCTAGTGGGGATAAAGATCAATTTGATCTGTCAATTGCTAAAAAGGGCAAACAAGCTGGTAAAGATTATCTAGTTCTAAAAGTGGCTGAACTTATTAAAATGGCTTTTACGGCTTCAACAGCTGTAGTGGGTGAAATGAGATTAGAGGGTTTAACATTGTTAAGAGATGTGATTGAGGTTTGATTAGTTTCCTGATTTTGTTTATTTTATATTACATATATTATATTATGTAAAATGCTATTATTAGAAATTTTCTGCAACTCCTGATCCAGATTTTGAGGAAGCGGCTCTTTTGGAACAGTATCAAGTCTGTATTTTCTTACAAGGCATTTTAACAATTCTATTTTACTTACCAAACGAGTGCAATCACATAGGCACAAATAGGTGCGGCTCTTACGCCTGCTTTCACAGCTGATTCATCTCCAGAAATTCTTTCAGCAGCTGTCAAAGTATGTGCTGTATTTGTTGGAAGTGGTATTGTGAAAGAGTTACATCGAATGGGACGCATATTGAAACTATTAACCACTGCTTTAGAAAATTGTAAAGGTATTGTTAAATATTTAAACATTACATCACAAATGTACATTTTCTTTGTTTGTTTAGATTTTTTTATCTACATGTAAAACCACACAAAGATAACTCAAGTGTGACCAAAGTTGGTGATTTTAAAGATTTAAGTCCCCATGCTGCAATAATGGTTAAGCTTTCAGTATTGAATGCTTGGGCAGAACTTCAAGTCGCCAGCACTAAACAAACCTATCTGGTTCAAGTTGTTCAACCGTATCCTTAAATGTGTTTGATAAATTGGCTTTGTGAAGCCACTTTCGATAATATTCAGAATATTCATCTTAACCATAATATAATACAGAAATTTACCGTTGCTTTGTCCTTTATGGATTTTAACATTGAAAGAATATGCCAGAGTGCAGGTCGACCCTGATATTACTGATGCCCAAGCTAATGTTATTGGTACTGGGTCAATGCAGAATACCTCTCAAACTGAAGTTTTTGATTCAATGTATAGTGGGTTAACTAGGGAAGTTATTCTTACGGTAATTTATGTCTTTATTTCATTCTCCGATGATTATTTGGCCAAATTTATGTTATGAGCAATGTTAACCTATATTTTCTTGACAGTATTACAACATGTCATGGCTAACTATTTTGGGGGCCATCGCAAGTTTGGTTCAAAAGGAAAACCCGTATATTATTCTTGCGCTTAACGGAGAAGAAATTACAATAGATGACAATACAAATGATATCAGCAAATATGGTGACGATGAATTTGATGATTTTGGTGACGACAATAACGAGTTTTCTGACGATTTTAGTGCATTTTCTCACGAGAAAGAACCAGAATTGAAAAAAGATCCTGCAAAATACTTTTTTATACTCTTCGGACTTTGTGTTGAAGCATTATCAAATACATTTGGTGGAAGTAGTAGAAGCAGTGGTGTAGGAAATAATGTTGGAAATAATGTTGAAACCCAAAAAATTGTTCGTACTTGCATTGATGCGCTTAAAGCTTTTTTACGACCAGTAGTTGCAGGAAACACATTTCTTGATGAATATATTTTTATTGAGTTAATTAATTTGTTTGATCGACTGATACTTACTGAAGGATTTAAAGTACAATATGACATCATACAAATTATTGGAAATATTATTAAAGATTTCGGAGCAGCGTATATCTGTAAAGATGTACCAAAAAATAGGTTTCTTTATTTATTTTTTTTCTTGATGGTTATGGTTTTGACAGCCGATTTATTTCTGGACTTTTTTCTGGATTATAAATACTGACAGCATGAAGATAAATGGACATAGCGAAGACGAGGCGACCATTGAATTCACCGAAACTGAAACAATCCTTTTTCATATATTACGGTTATTGGTCAATATATTTTTTCAAAAAATTCCATCACTTTCAAACCGTCCAGAGGTTGTGAGAGTATTTAGGCTACCTCAAGGTTAATGTTTAAATTTAGTATATTTTTACGTTTCAAAGCATTCTATATCTGACATCGAGATGCTGAAAAAATAAAATAAAATAAAAATCAGGAAATGCGAGAGGTCAAACATCACAAGAGACTATTGTTCTCCTAAAATTTACGATAGATGCCTTTACGTCGCTCATAACGATAGTTCCATCAAAATACAAGATTGATTTATCTGCTATTGCATTTTATGTTTATATATGTAAGTTTAGAACTTTATTTTGTTATTTTTAAACATTATATATAACCCAATTGATTTCGATGAAATTATAATGCAGCTATCATTCAAGACCCCAAATTTCAAAGTGAGCTAGTGCCTCATGTGCTTATCAACATAAAACTTTTATGTGAAAATATTTCTGCTCATCTTGAAGAAGAAGAATTCTACACATTTAGTCGTGTAGTTCACTCGACAATTTCTTCTACACTGTTGCAAATTAACTCACTCACTAAAAGGTTTGTTCAGTTTGATGTCATGATCGTCTTGTATATATTGTTGCATACATTTATGTTTTGTTCTACATTTTACTAAACAAAGTCAAGATGCATTAAAAGACGATGAAGTATCCGTAGTTAAAAACAGTTTATTGACTTCAACAATACTTTTTACTTCCTGTCCAAAACAATGCACCGAAAATACCGCAATACAAACTGAATTTATGGAAATATTAAAGAATGGATTCTATTCCGATATTGATTCGGTAATAACTATTAATATTGTGTAATTTATAATATTATTATTTAATTTTATTTAAATAAGGTTATATTTATTCGGAAGTAGATTGCAATAACATCCTTCCAATGTACACGTACTTTGATATTACTTTCTGCCAAGAAAGAAACTAATATTGTTGCTACAACATCGAGTCAAATGAGGCATGTTTTCATAAAAACACTTATTCCAGAAGTAGCTGCTTTTTTGCAAAAAATCAAAGATACTTATGGAGCTGAATGTACATCTCAAGAAAGTTCTTATAAATTAGATGCTGTTGAAGAATCAATAAAAACTTTACTGATCACAAATACAATATCACAAGATTCACACAGTAAGAGAGAAGCATTTCTTTATTTGAATTTTTATAGTTTTATAGAGTTAATTATTTTTACATATTCTTAAATTTAGAAACTGCTCTAATGGCAGTCACACTACCTACATTGATTCAGTTGTTGGCCGATCCACCGCTAGAGAAATATATGTCTTCTTCGGAAGAAACTAATTATTTACACACACTTCCACCACTGCACACATTGTCTGTTACGCATATTTTATCACTTGCAGGATCACAACCTCAAAATTTTAGAGATGCTGTAGCAGTACTATTACCCGGACCTAAGGCTAAATTGGAAGCAGCGATTCGATTTAATGTTTTCCAGCAACAGCAACAACAAAAAAGGTTACAAGAGGAAAGGGACAGGAGATATAACGAAAGAATTGAATTGAACAAAGGACCTAGCATATCTTTGAAAAGTGATTTTTCTGGATTTGCTTAAATCTTTTTTCTTAACAATTGCATATATATACTATAATTTTCTAGTTTTGTTAATAGAATTAATTTTGCCGATTTGTACTGCAGAAACGTATGTACTATACATTAAAACGTGTACTTAATGACAAAATTATAAATAACTCGTACAAAGATTTGTAAATAATTACTGATGAAAAAAGCAGAAAAAAAATGACATTATTTTGACGCGTACAGAATGGTACTAGCTCTCAGGCCCGGGCGATGCTTCGGGGCTAGGTCTTAAGTGTTTTAAATCTTAGATTTTATAGTTTTTAGCTCTCAGGCCCAGCGATGCTTCGGAGCTAGGTCTTAAGTGTTTTAGATCTCAGATTTTAGTTATTTAGTTTAAAAAATAAAGTAGTATAATTTAAATTATAATTTTTTTAGTTCACAGGTCCGGGCGATGCTCCGGGCTAGGTTTTAAGTGTTTTAAAATCTTAGATTTTATAATTTTTTGCTTTTAGGCCTAGACAATGCTCTGGGGCTGGGCCTTAAGTATTTTAACTCTCAGGCCAAATGATGTTTCAAAATGATTTTTAATAAAAAATCTAAAGTTGTAAAATTTATTGAGATTTAATAAAATTTTGTAAAATTTAATATAACTTAATAAACTTTATTAAGATTTAATAAAATTTTAGTAAATTTGTAAAAATTTTGTATTTTTATTTTTTTATTTTTTATTTTGTTAAACTAGCTTCTTTTGGAGCTGGGGCTTTTTATTCAGTATAGTCAGGATATAGGGACTCACGGCCAAGGCCTCAAAGGAGTCACCTTACATTAGAGAGTACAACTAGTCACATATACACTTTTGGTGTCTAATTAAGTAGTCCGCCGATGGTTCTACACTAGCTGCCATACCTGCAACCAAACTAGGGGTGTTGCCTATTTAAACCCTCTGTACTGCAACCCTTACTGTATCACTAGATCATCTCCACTACATAAGTCAGTCAAGAAGGTCTAGATGCTTACCTGTATCCTTAGGACCCCGTACCTTATTTCATGCAGTGTATCCTTAGAAGCATTATTACTAGAGTCTTTCATGTTCCACACACAGCTAACCTAGTTTTATGTAACATGTTATAGTTATCTAACACTTGCAGTCAGGGCTAACCTTAAACCACTATGTTACACTATTTCTACCCTTGTAAAGTTCACCCAAACCCTGGTACCTATCTTTCCGACATCTTCTCCATTATCCCCTACTAGCCACAACTCAGAACCATCAGTCTCAGTCCAGACTACCAATCCAGATGACCCGGTATGGTATACCTTAGTATCCTTTTCCTTCAGAGAATCTGGTGGCCTGGTTGGTCATGTGCTCCTCTACACATCTTGACGTTTAGTTTTAATCTTCAGTTCTTATGGTGTTTCATGGGCTTCTATCAGTCTGACAGCACCATCAAAAGTTTGTGCTACCTCTTTACTTGAGAATTTTCAAGTGAGATTCTGTCTCCTCGGTTCCTTAGTCTTCTATGCCCAGTGGTCTTATCATGGGTTTGCACTGAAGTCTTATGCAACACCAGTTATTAACATTCCTCTATATACATGTACTGTGTAATGTTACATTTCGCATAGATGCCCCCGAGCTCCCAATGTCAGTAGGACCCCAACTTGGTGTACCTGGGTTATAGCCGCATGAGGCCAACTGATTAACAGAAGACAGTTTCTGTATCACAGATATAATTTCCAAATTTTATCGTAAGTGGGATTTGAACCTTAGACCTGCCACTTGGAGGATGACAACTTAACCACTACACTAGGATCACCATCCTCTTTTGTATTTTTAAAAAAATTTAATAAATATTAAATTATAAAATATATTTTAAATATAATTGTATATATAGAATCAAATTAATTAGTATATAAAAATAAAATTTAAAAAGAATGGTAATCCTAGTATAATGGTTAGGTTGTTATTCTTTAAATGGCAGGTCTAAGGTTCAAATTCTACTTATAACAAAATTTGAAAATTAATTCATGTTATAGAAATTGTTTTCTGTTAATTAGTTTGCTTCATGTGGCTTTAATTTAGATATATCAAGTTGGGTTTTATTTATTATTGAAAGCTTGAGGCATTTATATAATATATAATGTTATATATATATAGAGAAATATTAACAATTGTTGTTGTATAAGACTTTAGTACAAGTTTACAATAAGACCAACAGATGCAAAAGACTAAAAAACTGAAGAAACAGAATTCTACTTGAAAATTCTTAAATAAAGAAGTAGTACAAACTTTTAACAGTGCTATTAAACAGATGAAATCCTATGAAATAACTTTATAAAAACAGGTTAGATAAACTAAATATCAAATATATATAGAAGAGCATATAATCAATTAGACTACTGAAATTACTAAAGGAAAAAGATAATATAATATATTATAATAAGCTATCTTAAATTGAAAGTCTAAGAAGTTTGTCAATTCTGTTAATAGAAGATTATAAAAAAAATGTTAGAAAGATAGTACTAAATTTGGGTAAAATTTATATGAATAGAAATAGTATAATATAGCAGTTTAAGATTAGCCTTAACTACAAGTATTAGATAACTATAGTATATTATATAAAACTAAGTTAGCTGTATATAGAATACAGAAAACTTTAGTAATAATGCTTTTATGAATACATTGCATAAAACTAGATATAGGGTCTGAAGAGTATAGATAAGTATTTAAACCTTCTTAACTAATATATGTAGAAGAGATGATCTAGTAATATAGTAAGGTTTACAGTACAGAGAGTTTAAATAGGCAATGTCTCTAGTTGGGTATAGCAACTAATATATAATTATTAGTAGACTAGTTAAATTAAATACTAAAAATATACATATGGCTAGTTGTACTCTTTAATATAAGAAGACTTTTTTAAGATCTTAGCCATGAGTCTCTATATTTTAACTATTGAATAAAAAGCCTTAGTCCTAAAAAAAACTAGTTTAATAAGATGAAATTAATTAGTAAAATTAAAAGAATTCTAAACTTTTCAATAATTTTATTAATAAAATTATAATAAATCTTATAATACTTAATATTTTATTAAATAATTTTATTTTTATTTTCTAAATAATTTGATTTTACATATAAATTTATATTATATCAGTATATTATTAGAATATATTTATTGAATTTGCAAAAATAATATTAAATTTTAAATTTTTTGATTAAAAATTTAAAATTTTATAAAATTTGTCATTTTTTAAAAAAAATTATAAAATTTAAAATATTATATATTTTAATATAAATTTATATATAGAATTAGATTACTTATAATTTTTTTTTAAATATTAAGATAAGATTATACTTTTAACTTTATTGAAATTCAAGTTGCAAATCATTAACTCTTTCTGATGATCACTTGTACCAAACTCTACTGCAAACATTTGATTATTATTCAATATTTTATTAAGTAAACTACTCTTGGACGCCTAAGTAAAGTTGTTCCTAACA